CCCTTATTGGGCAAACTATTTGCTTCATCAGCTTAGAACTTTTAAACTCAGAATATATAAAGACAAAAATTGTGTTGCACGTTCCAAAACATTCAGGGCTAGGGAAATAGTGCCAGATCCTTTCAGAATATTCAGGTAGTGAATTAGCATTTCAGGATCCTCACTATCAGGTCATGTAACAAATTTCTAACATGGATTAGATGAATAAGGGAGCTCACATCACAGAAGATGAATGCCAAATGAAAAATATGCGCCCACTAAAATTCTTCTGGGTACTCATCAAGTTGTCTTGGGATTCCTTTTCAGAAAGTCAAGGCTAATACTTAGCTAAGTAAGTTTTGACTTACCAATACATTAAAGGAACTTACAGATCTTCTTGCAATCTACTATGAGAGTCTTCATTCCCAATTTTGGGGGTAGATCAACACTGCCATGGAGGATTTTGTGCTGGATTTGAGAGCCCATAACATCTGGCCTATCAGCAAGGGACATCAGAAACAGATGGATTCTAATTGACAATATTAATATATTAATTAATATGGAGCTTTGTTTGTATCTAAAGGATGAAGGGCTAAGGGGTCATGTCCTCAGATGAGCTGCCACTAGAAGGAATGACCTGCAGCCAATAGGTTTCCTACACTAGGCTCACTGAATAGAATAATAGAATCCTGGAATCAAAGACCTTTAAGATCATTGAGTCCAATCATTAACATAACACTGCCAAGTCCATCACTAAGCCATGTCCCTGTGCACCACATCTACACTGGCTTTTAAATACTTACAGGAATGGTGACTCAACCACTTCCCTGGGCAGCCTGTTCCAATGCTTTGACAACCCTTTCAGTAAAGAAATTGTTCCTAATATCCAATCTAAACCTGCCCCACACAGTTTGAGGCCCTTTCTGCTTGTTACTTGGGGGAAGAGATCGACTCACACCTGTCTACAACCTCCTTTCAGGTAGTTGTAGAGACCTATAAGGTCTCCCCTCAGCCTCCTTTTCTCCAGGCTAAACAATCCCAGTTCCCTCAGCTGCTCCTCATAAGATTTGTACTCCAGCCCCTTCAACAGCTTTTTTACCCTTCTCTGGACACGCTCCAGCACCTCAATGTCTTTCTTGTAGTGAGGGGCCCAAAACTGAGCACAGTACTCGAGGTGCAGCCTCACCAGTGCCGAGTACAGGGGCACAATCACTTCCCTGGTCCTCCTTGCCACACTATTTCTGATACAGGCCAGGATGCTGTTGGCCTTCTTGGCCACCTGGGCACACTGCTGGCTCATGTTCAACCGGCTGTTGACCAACACCCCCATGTCCTTTTCTGCCGGGCAGCTCTCCAGCCACTCTTCCCCAAGCCTGTACCATTGCATGGGGTTGTTGTGACCCAGGCGTAGGACCTGGCACTTGGCCTTGTTGAATCTCATACAATTGGCCTTGGCCCATCAATCCAGCCTGTCCAGATCCCTTTGCAGAGCCTTCCTACCATCAAGCAGATCAACACTCCCACCCAGCTTGGTATCATTTGCAGACTTACTGAGGGTGCACTTGATCCCCTCATCCAGATCATTGATAAAGATATTAAACAGATCTGGCCTCAAAACTGAGACCTGTGGAACACTGCTAGTGACCAGCTGCCATCTGGATTTGGTGAATGGTTCACCAATTACCACAACTCTTTGAGCCCAGCAATCCAGCCATTTTTTTATCCAGCAAAGAGTACACAATACTGGCTCTACATCCAACACAGAAGGAAACTGCACACACAGTATAGCTTCTGGCAGTTGACCAAGGAAGGTGAACTATCTTGGCAAATTGATATTTTTAGTGGTATAACTGAATCTCTGCTAATGAACTTTGTCAATACTGCTTCCTCATTTAGCAGTCCAAGCTGAGGGAAGATCTCTTGACAAGCTCAAAAGACGTACAAGGGAATGGATATGTTTTCTCAGCCATTCTGGTTAAGTTAGGTTCAACAGAAATTGAGATTATTTACTTCAGGAAAACCACTGTAATAAAAAGAAAACATGGAATTGTCTAGCTTCTTTGGAAGTAGAGAAATACTTTAGTAAATGACACTCTCCTTACCTAATGTTTTGACAGGATCAGAATAGTCAGAATCTGTAAACTGTCCTTTAATGTTAGTTGCTCTGAATTTAAATCTGTGAAATAAAACCAAGAAAAGTAATGAAATAAAAGTTTATGTGCATTTTCTTAAATATTATTTCACTTAGAAACTAAAAATCATTTTTCAATTTTAGTATAATAAAAGCTGGAATCATTATTCATCTGCTAAAGTGATATTATGACAGACATCAAGGACTCAGTGTCAGTATCTTAAATGTATAATCAAACAATACGAATTACTTATCTTGAAGTTGGGCTTATTTAATTTAAGAACTCAGTAAGTATCTTTTGCTACCTGAAACATTTTAAAAAAAATTGTGCCATATTTCTGCTCAGCCAAAAAATTTATAATTAAGGACACATGAAGATCACTTCAATATCCACCTTTTCATAACTGAAATACATGTTTTGTATGTTTGTATAAATGTATATTACACTTAAATCTTTCTCTTGGACAAACAGAGAGACAAATGTACTTACAGGTACTGCTTTCTTGGTTTCAGTGGGCCATTACATATTTTGTCTTGACTGCCTGGTATCATACATGTAGTGTCAGCACCTATGACATATGTCTCTTCTTTGCCACTCAGATCTTCTTTTCCTTCTATACATGGTGGGTTTGGAAAGCCTTCATTTGTAAAATATGGCCTTGGTCTATTGAAGTAGGCATCATACCACTTTGTAACGTTCCCATCATGCTGAGCTATTGTCAAAAAAAGAAATAATTAGAAACAATTTCTAAATAGACTGTAATTTAAAAAGTTAAATAGGAAATTATTTTTTCAAGAGCTTAGCATGCTATCGGTGCCATTTACACAACTAAGTCTATAACTATATTTGTACTTGAGTCCAAATTTCCTTGTTATCTACATTATCCCTATTTTGTTAATTCAGAGTAAGTCAACTGAATCACAATTAGAAAATTTCAAGGGCAGTCTCACACATGAGCTGTGCCTGTAGAGGATATCGCCTGTGCAAGCCACTTGACTTTGAAATTGAGCCTGACCAGGAAAGACAGTAAAAAGTGTTTATTCTAAAGAAAGTGAAGACTGTTCCATAAATTGAATGACGAGATTTCCATAAGTGGACAGTACCTAGCAACACTGGAGAAAAATCTTCAAAATGTTGCTTAACATGAAATTTGCATATCTATCAGGTCAAGATAATCTTCACAGCAATATCTGTGAAGTAAATGTCTGTAAGATTAGTGCTAAAATGCAAAATTCAAGGGAATTTCCCTTCAGGAAAGGGTGGCAGACTTACTATGAACTCAGTTAATGTGAATGCTTTATTTCTATACTTTGAAATCAAGCAAAACAATATAATTAAGTACCTGGAATTTTCCTTCTTAGGTAAAGTAAGTCTGACCGTATAATGTCCTATCATGAAATTCCCATTCACATTGGTAGACAATTACTCAAAAGATTATCATTACACTGTTCATATGAGTAAATGTTCATCAGTCCATACTAGGGGATACATATTCTAACCCACAGTCTACAGAAGGGATTTATATAAATCTCTCTGCCCCTATTATGAAATGGAAATATCAACTGCACATGACTTCATTCTTTTATATGCAACACTAATAACAACAGAAGAATAACCTTGTAAAAGAAGTTTAATATTTATTTACCTTTCACAAATGCCAAATGTATTTTTTCAAGGAAACGAAATAAATTAATACAATTATAACAATAGGGCCAGAATAATATTGGTGACTTCAAACAGCATGGATGACTCTCTGCAAGTGTTCCCAAAATCCAGTATCAAGCCCATAGGTATTGTGAAAGCTACTTTCCTCTTAGTACTGTTGCCACAGCTAAAGTGACTTTGTTAGCTGTTTTCTAACCTGAAATTACTGAGACCCAAGAAAAGAATTAAGAGAGAAAAGATCAACAGTATGAAAATAAAGAAATAAAAAAAAAACCTGAAAATTTTCAGAAGAACTTAAAAAATTCTACCTCCAGCTTCCACAACAAGAACTTGTATCTTCTTGATGGGGCCATGATCATCACTGTAAAAACATATGGGCATTCTGATCGTAATTGTTGTAGCTGTGATGAGTAACGCCCCATTAGCATCATAAACTGGTGCTGGTTTCTTTTTAGGCCGTGGTGGTTCTGTTTTTAAACAAAGATATACCACAGAGTTTTGTTTTAAAATGTTTTCACTACGAGTATTTTGTTCAAGTACATAGCTGTGTTATGCAAGACAAATTCTTCGGCATATTTTCAGGGACAACCTAATGTTCTACTTAATGCCTTAAGACTCTAAAAACTATTCTGATAAATGCCTCTGCACATCAGTTTTCAACTAAAAGAGAAAACAATGACAAGCCTGAGTCTTATTTTTTCAATGAATTTCAATCAATGACTGGATTTATTTCCACAACTGTGATACTGTATACCTAGCTATACCTCTGTGATATTCTTCTAAGCTGTTTGCTGATGGTAACCAAAATACTGAAGTACCAACATTACTTCACTGAGTCTGCACATGGTTTACTGTATAATTCAGATATCAATAGCAAACGATCATTGATACGCAGCAAAATTGAGCACTGCAATTTGAGACTATCAGTTATGTGTTCCTGTTCTTGCATTATGCAGCCTCTAAACAATAGACAAAGTCACACAGCTGTGTACTCACAGGTAGAACAGCATTTTCTTCAGCATATATAAAGATTTCAGCTAAAGGGTACTTTATGAGACATACCTTTGATATCCATGGTTATTTTCAAGGGAATCTTTGGCCCTGCACCAGCACCATTAATTGCATACACCTTAAAGAAACAAACACTTTTTAAAATAAATAGCTGTAATAGCTTCAAATTGGCCAAATCTGGATATATTTGAAGCAACGATGAATGCTGAAACACTCATTTTGTCATTCACACTTTGCTAGAACTTATTTCGTGTTTCTTTACAATCCTAAGTACAGTAAAACGTCATCACTTGTGATGTAGCTCTTACAAAAAGGAGAAAAACAAGCCCACTTTAACAGTTACACTGCCTCCTCTCATGTCCTAGTCTCTGATTATTTGAAGGAACTTCATGTGCATACTTCTAACGACCTCCTCTTGCAGAACTAGACCTTTCATCTGAGCCAAATGAGCAATGCAAGTAGTGGAATTAAGAGAGAGATTTAGTCTTGTACCCGTGATGTTGTGTCATAGGCTGCTTTGCTAGCACATGAATTGGTGGCTCAGAGTAAAAAGCTAACCACTAATGGTGTGTCTGGCTTCCACTCACTGCATCCTCGTCATTGCGCCCCTGTTCCTCAGATTTGTCTCTCTTCATACCCCAGCTAATACTCTTGGTATGAAGATCTCATATTCAGCCCAGTTTTGTGTTGCCTATTCAGACTAATCTCTCACTCATATAAAATTAAAAATCCAAAGAAAAAGTATCAGTACTTACACTGACATTATAGGTATGTCCTCCTTTTAGTCCTTCTATCATGGCAGTGACTGACTGATCTGTTTTATCAATGACACTGAGGTTGTGGATCCGGATGGCAGAGGGGTCATTTTCATTGTAAACCATAGCTTGATACACCTGAATATTTCCATTTGGTTCAGATGGTGGCACAAATGTTACTTGGAACTTTGTTACTTCATCTGGTATCTTCTGAAATGTTACATTGTTGGGTGGGTCTTCAGGCACTGAAATAAATATTTCAATGATCCACTTAATCAGTTTACTACTATTACTACTATTCAGAGTAAAACCTGAAAAATTACAAATTCTATTTTTGCATGTCAGTATTATTTAATTTGTATTTTCTGTTTTTATTAAAAACATCTCAAATACTTATTGCTTATGTAAATATTTATAAGGACAATAAAAAGTTAAATATTTAGTGAAATTCTATTCTTAATTATAGCGTTTAATGCTACAAATATTAAAAATAATGATTAGATAAACCTCAGTAGTCTCTACTCAGATTTTCTACTCAGAAAGCCTGAAGGCATCATTATACCTTGAAATACATCCAGGGTAAACAAATCCTTGCATGGGTTGACAGGCAAGAAGCAAGTGTTAGTCTTGAGTATCCCTTTTTGAAAGCCCTCTGTCAACAGCAACTCCCTCCCAACATATAAACAAGCCACTGTGTTCCTAAGCGTCTCTGCTCATCACAGCTAACTTTTTAGGAAAAAACTTTCCACTAGCCAATGCCTGGACACTAACACAGCATACATTTTTCCCAAAGACAGTTTTTTGTCAACTGCTTGTTCCAGTAGCTTAGTCTCAAAACAGCAAAAGTATAAATCATTTTCCCAATGTCCCTATCTGAAAGAAAAAGCTGTAACATTCTTTCCAGGCAGCTAAATATTTATTGCTCTACCTGAGCAGTCAAGTATGTAGTGTGACCTCTAAATACTGAAATCAAGCAACTGAAGGTTATCACATTCCCTCAGCCAAGGATTTGGATGCAGTTGTCATACCTTCCAGATTTTTTAACACCAGCCAACAAATACTTACTCAGGCTTCTCTGGAGTATGTCTGCGTAAACTGGTCGTAACAGCTATATACTAGACAGTACAGATGAGACAAGATGAGATGGAGAGAATAACTGCTCCTCTCTAAGGTTACTGCACCTCCTAAAGTATCACATTTTTACATAAAAGAAAGGGCTACCAAAAAAAGGAGCTTATAGGACAGACCCAGCTTTCACCTAATTTAATCTTCATTGATTTTTCCACAGTAAAAGATCATATCAACCTCCAGGGATATAAACAGGTCACGAAATCCTTAGAATTTAACTTATTAAAGGCATTATATATATATATATATACACACACACTCATATCATATAATATCATTAGGGACATTGGATTTTCATACATCAAAGGAAAGATAAATGATAAATACAATCACTGTGTAGTATGTCTAGATCTGAAATTAACCTGAGTATATAGCTAAAAAAGCTGACCTGCAGCTAACCTCACTAGAGATAAGGCAATTGTAGTTTATACACAGTTGATAATTAGTTTGGATGAAACAAAACTTAAATATCTTTTCATATAATATGTTCTGTTGTTTTTTTTGTTTGTTTGTTTAAATATCCTTAGTGAACAATTCAAAACCAGCAAAGATAGCAGACAGAGCATAACCAGGAACTGTGTATATAAAGCTAGGATTATACCTTCCCTATGTACATGTCTTTATATTTTCCTAAGCAAATGCCATCTACTTTACTCTAATGTAGCTTCTCAGTGTCATGAGGTCCTTAAACAGTTCCTTCCCGCTCATCTCTCAGTTTTAGTTCTCTGATTAATTTTATAGCATTAGCAACTTTTTTCACCTTAGTATCTACCTCATTCTCCGGATGGTTTTGAATCTGTGGAATAGCTGACTCAAGCACAGATGTCTGCGGGCCTTCACTAGCAACCTCTTTCCACTGAGAATACAGAGATCGTGTCCTCAAGTCAGCTCAGGCACCATTTATAAAGAGTAGGATTCACTTATCTTAATTTTTGTATGTTTAAATTTTGCATCAAGACCAAGGATATTGTATAGAGTTGTCCTGGTTTTGCTAGGGTAGAGTTAATTTTATCTCAATCTACAATCCTCCTTGCCCCCAATAATCCTTGCCCCCAATCCTCTCCCCTATCCCCTGAGGGTGGGGGGGAAAGTGGGTGAAGGCTGTGTTGGATGCTAGCTAAGGGCTAGTCCAGTGAAACTATTACAAGTTTTTAATAGTCTCTTGAGGAAAACAGGCACCTTCACAGAGGGAAATCATCCCTTCCTATGACGGGTATTTTATATATACATGCTAATATAGATAGGATCTCTCTTCGTTGACTATAGAAGTAATCTAGATGGCTGTGTCCCACATGTCCGTATTTTACATGAAGTAAGTTAAGATCTCTGCATTACTAAAGATAAACCTTAGTATTTATTATCATCATTGATTTTTTGATTGACTACCACCTTTTTAAATATTAAAGAAAAAATACTGGGAACAAATCTGCATTAATAGTGCTCCATGTGTTCAAAACTCTAATTTATTTGCCAGATGAAAGAAAAACTGCAAAATTTGATCCTTATAAAGTAAAGAAAAGTACAAACCTGCTTCAAAAGTGGAGACAATTACTGGAGAACTAGCCTTGCCTTCAATGTGTGCAGCATTAACATCCCCCGTAAAGGCAATGATTACTACAGAATACCTTGTAAATGCTTTCAAATCAGAAATTTCTAAGACTTTACCCTCATCATTTGTCTTCAGAAACTGGGCCTTATAGTTGTTATTATCTACCTGTAAAATAATAATAACAAGAAAAAAACCCAACAAATAATTACAAGACTAAAACCAGCCAAAAGTACAACATTATTATTTGAACACTTTATTTAACTTTTATATTTTCACTTTTCTAACCATTTATATAGAAGGATTCACAATAAGTCTCTAGCTACCAAGACTAGAAAGCTGCACAGGGGATTACACTCCCATCTCATCATGTGTTGCCTCTTTAGCACTTGCTGTAGTATGGGATTAAGGAAATGATCTGTTAGCTTGGTGCTGTCTTCCACCAAGCAAACATGAACCAGTTGGTAGACACTGGGCCAGGGGAGCTGCAGTGACCTGAAATGGGAATCAAACTAGGCAGAGATCCAGAAGATGAACAGCTGTATAGCAGAAAATATTTTGGAATACAAAAACAAAAGAAAAAATTGGCAGCAACATATAATATTAATAAAACTGCAGAAAGTGCAGTTCCTCTTGGGATATATTGATAGAAGCAGTACTTATAAGGCAGTGGGGAGGGAGTAATTATCTCACTAGAAAAGCTGGAAAGTTCAATAATTTGGGTTCATTTTAGAAAAGGGTGGATGGTGGAAGACATGGTAATAACTTCAAAATATAAAAAAGTTGTTACTAAATTGAAGGTAATCCGTTGTTCCTAGTGTTCATGAAAACACAAATAGAAGTTCCAAAAAAAAGTTTAGAATTAAATATTAAAAAAACTGCAATGATATACCTAAATATGTAACTAAAACTATGACTGTAACTAGTTACAGTTAAATTGCTAAGGAATTTTCAGTGCTGGACATTTTTAAGAACAAGATAATGAATAATTTGTGAGGAAGACTCCAGGTGCACTCATTTCTGTGTTAGAGCAGGATATGGACTGGATTATTTCTTGGCATCCCTATCATCCTTACATCTCCAATAATCTGTAGTTCTGTTGAAAAATCTACAGGGTTGGTTGAGCTTTATATCCAGTTAATTAACTCTACTGTTAGCTTAAAAAAGAAAAAATAAAAATGGAAGCTTTTCTAGTGTTTGACAGAGTATCATTTACAAAATTCTTTTTATGTCTATTCCCACTACTTCAGTTAATGATGTTTTCATTATTGTTTCTTCAGTGTGTAATCTGAAAAAAGGATTAGGTAGCTGTACAGTAGTTTTCCCACTGGATGAAATCTGTATTAAATGCAGCTGCTAAAACATTAGAATAGTTCAAGCATACCTTTTATTTGACAGATATGCATCTATCCCCACTGAGAATTAACCTGAACTAAACTTTCTGATGGACTAAACAGACATTCATTTCCTGGGATGCCCATGAAGAGCTGAAACACTTTTTCCTATCTGACTATCAAAAATCTGGCATATAAACATTTATACAAGAGCTAAAAGATAACCACAGTATTACATAATTAAAATGATTTCTATTCTTCCTGAAGTTTAATGGTTCAGTTCCATTTACTTACTCATTTTCAGTAATATTTTATTCAGGACTACTGAATAGTAGGATACTATAGTATAGTATCCTACTGAATAGTAGGATACTATAGTAGGCAGCAAGACAAACTAAAATATGACTCACTGGAATAATGATGAGGGAGTACTTTTTATTTTTTCTGATCTATAAAACTGCATAGAACATCCTAGCAATTTAAACAGATCCCTAATACATTCACTAATAAATATTAGTTACTATTTTTCAAGAACAAAGACATCACAGAGTAGAAATTTGAAATTATTCTGTTCTGTGAACTTATTTTTATATATCCTAAAATACTCAGTTGAGAACTAAAATGAGTAAAGTTATACATATAGGAAGTTTGTGGACTTTGGAGTTGTTATAAAAATTTTCCCATTGGGACAACAAAATATATACTGAAATTTTCACTGAAAACGATTGTGACAGCTTTATTGGTCTTTAAGAAGGAATAGATTTGTCTACTAAGATTATTATCTACAGAACTAACCCCCTGTAGTTACTGATTGTTAGACAGGCAACATCTGATTACAAGGAATCCCTAGACATTAAGCTAGATATCTGAAATATATTTCAAAATAAAACCCCCCACTTCGTAAAAACAGAGCCAAAGCCCTCCAAACCAAACATTTAAAACATTAAATTAAAAATTTTAAAGTTCCTTCCAAATGCTGGCAGGCTCACATGAAACATTCTGTAGTTCACCTTACTTTAGGAATTTTACTGTAACTTATATTGCTAAGGTATTTATAACATTTTCATAGTGTAGAATCACTATGAAAATGACACCCCGTTTGTAATTTAGGAAATATCAGACAGCGGAGAAATTATTTAAATACAAATTAATTAAATATTACAGACAAAAAAATCAAGACTTGAAAATTTAATTTACAAGTTTTATCAAAAGCATGAAAAGAGGTTTTTTTCTGTTGATGCACTGTAATGCTGTTTAGTCAAAAGCAATAGGAACTTTTCACGAGGAAAAAGTCTTCTTTAACTTTAGTAAGGGAGAAATAAAAATTATTATGTAGTTTCTAGCGATCTACCTAATGGGACAAGGAACCATTCCTTCCCTGTCAGTATTTCCCTTGCTATTGTACATCCTTCATCCTGTCATGCTACTGCTGTGGTGTCTTCAGAACTGAACAGATTGCATTCTACATATTGGACAATGAGGTTAGAGGAAGAGAAAATAGCAGGACTACACATTACTCTCACTTGTAGCTTTACTGAAGAGCGTAAAAATATGTTATTTTTTTACTGATCTCCTTAGAAATTTTGATTGCACAAAAATTTCAGCATTAATGTTTTGTCACATCTGTAATTCTTATGATCAATTCAGAAACATTGAAAATATGGACATAATAGTCTTACTTTCTTCTCAGAAAATTGAAAAAAATTAAAGCCTTTAAATAGTTTGAAATAGTCTTCAAATTTTTTTCCCATTATCTAACAGACTGATTCAGGATTTTTGAAGCTCCAAACAGAAAGTTTTCCTAGGTAAGGTCTAGTAAACTGCTTCCCATTTTCACTGATAGCCCTGCCTGTATACTTGCTGGAAGAATAAGGAACCTATATCCTGCTTATGTGCTCGAATTTAGAAAGTTTCATATCTTGCCACAGGGCAAGAAATTATGTTTATTAACGGTTACTTTAAGGAATATCGTAAGCGTAGTAGAGGATGAAAAGAGAAAGGCCACAAAAAGGCTTTATAAGCCTTTTTTTTTGCTTATAAAGATCAAGGAGAAGGAAGTGTTACTGTTGTGCTACCAAAATACAACTAATCTGATGGACAGAGCACCAAGTGGAAAGTGGGAAATCTAGTTTGACTTTAAAGTTTGCCCTCTGATGCACTGTAACTTTGCATAAGTCACTCCCTTTTGTTAGGCTCTGCACTCTGGTTTGTAAAACTATGACAATGAACTTCTCCTTCCTTTGAAGAAAAAAACCCATCATTATTATTTTTACTGGTAAACAGCATCATTATTTTTAGAAGGAGGTACACCTTTGCAAAGCTCAGCTACTCTTCTCCTGTATACATTTATAGCTACATTTTCATTTCTCCAAGACCATTTATTAGCACACATTTTGAAATAGCAAGTAATTAATTTATCCCTCATTAAGAAGTAAATCTTTTGTGGAGTTCATGTGGAAATAGATACAGTCATATTGTTTTTCAATCCAGTTTATGTGTGTCCTGTAATTTCTATAAGAACATCTGCTGTAGTATTTATATCAACAAACATCTGTATTACTATCAACAATAAACCAGAGTTGCCTTACTGAGGTAATGTCTATGAGGTAGCATGTTGGTCCAGTGATGACAACAGGTTCACTCCAGCTGATATTAATACTGTGAGGAGATGTAGCTAAAACAGTCACATTTTCTGGAGGACTGTCTGGAGCTGCAGAAAAAATATATATGTGAATCATGGCCAAAGAAGTTCACAACAGATAATCCAGTAATTGTAGTGGCCAGTAGAGATTATTTTTCAATTTGAAAAAAAAATATTTTTCTCTAATTTACTGTTATACACTGCTTAAATAATTATAACATTTTTTCTCTCATATATAAAGCATACAGTGTGATTTAGAAACACAACTTTCATTGCAATTACTATGACTTTTCCAGCGTATAAACTGCCTACAACTTCATTTTAAATTGAAATTATAGTTTTACAAAGTATTTATATGTATTTCACATGACACAAGCAAAATATATACAACTCTTCAGACAAATAGACAAGAATAATACATTCATTTATGTCAAACAAATCATTCAAAGAACAAGAAATTATGAAAACACAAGGTTTTCTGCATGTTAGAAAAAATTTCCAGCGATGTAGGAGAGGACTAGTATAAATAATTTTATACAGAAAAAAAGTATTTTCTAGGTTTCATTTCAACTTATTCTTAACATGTTCAGAAACTCTGGAAAACACACACAAAAAAGTGATAGGAATTGTAAGTGGGCAAGAATATTCACATTAAGAAATGGGTTTTTCCTAAAATTTCCTTTTGTCAAGGTGATATGTGAATTAACCTAGTTATTTATTATCCATGAAGAAGAAATTAATGAAAGCATAATAACAACATGGCAGTTCACAGTACGTGATATTACATATTCATAAGGATTGTAGTAAATTTTAGGAAAATAAAATTTGTAACAGAAGTGACAACAGTTTTGTAGATAATGCCAGAACTTGGTTCCACGGTCTTTTTTTTTATCTACTACAGAAAAAGACAACTGTGATACATTTCAGTAAATGGCCTGTTATAGAAACAACAACAGATTTGTACATATTTCCGGAACTTGGCTTCATGGTGCCTTTTTTTTAATCTACCACACAAAAATACAACTATGATTAATGCATATCAGTGAACAGTCTGTTATTAAAAAACTGATAAAAGTGATCTTATCTATGCAAGTCAGAAGATGCAGTCTCTTTTCTCAAACATGATTAATGCATGAATACGTATTTTTTCACCATTAACCATTAGGTAAGAGGGCTTAACGGGGAAATCAGAGTGTATTCAAGTCTACTTAGTTTTTTAGGTAAAAATCAGGTTAAGAAAAGGAAAAATGGCATGGAACAAGTTATGTAGCTATTGAAACTATGTGTGAAAAGTTAATGAAGAGAAATCACTAAATCTTGCCCTGTGAATCTGAAAATTTTGCACTGTGGTTGAAAAATAAAACAGGAAGTTTTGGGAGCTGATAAGGTGCTATGAAGAATTTAGGTTGTTGGATACAGGGGGTATATGGCTGTGCTGGGATTAGCAGGAATATAATAGACTTTGTAGGCAGAAGCAGTCCCCAAAAATACTGAATAGCATGGAACAACTGAATGCAGAGTGTAACTGAATAAACTATGAAAGCACATGAGGGGTGATGAAAGAGGAGACTGCTCAGAGAAGGCTGGCTGTTGAGTGGGGAGCTACAACAGACAAAACAAAATACAAGGGCAAGCATGTTGCCTAAAAACTAGAATTAGTGCAAAGTAAGCTTATTTTTCAGGTAATGCATGTCAGACTTGTTACTCAGTGTCTTTTAGTGTCAACAGTGCTTTCAGTAACTGTGGCAGTGGTATTACCTTACTGCCAGCTGAAATTTCTAAAAAACAGTATAAAATTATATATATAGCTTCTTGAGCCTTAGTTTCCAAATCAACAAAGTTTCCAAAGACAATTTTCCATTACTTTTTTATAGCATTAATGGAGCCTTTAATAGCTTAATATTTTTTTCAGAAGCCAATTTAGGTTTATGGATTAGACAACGATGGTGTGAAATTATTTAAAGCCTAATCTAATCTACAAATTACCCAAGCTAAAGTTATTTATATGGATAATTTTCGCATGCAGTTTATGTTTGATACATTTTTAGATCTTTGCAAGAAAATTCTAATTGAGTATGCTGTATTTAAGATATTTATCTAAAATACATCTAAGCATTAATACCTGGTTTATTTTCATCATTAAAAGTTCAATATCAGACATTAACTGAATGATATTGAAATTCTGGAATATTTTTGAAAATAACCTGTATAATTAGAAAAACTAGAAAATGAAATGTGTTTAACGTGACTCATCTTACAAAACCCACCTTTTAAAAAACTGTGTTTGCTTCAGTGGGTAACTGCCACATTCTGATTTAGGTTGTTTTGTGAGATGAATCTAGTCACTACGAGGCCATGATATCACTATACCCTTTCTCTTATAAATCACAGCAATTTACTCAGTAGAAATGACCTAGTCTTATTCTCTCATTCCCCCATAATCCAATCACTTCCTCTCATAAGCACTTTTCTCCTGGTTTTCACAATAATGCATTTTCTGTAACTAATAACCATCATTTCCTGATTATCATGCTTCTATCCTTGCACAGGAATGTGGGTCTTATGGAGGTCAGGGTCATCTTTCCCATCCATCTGTGTCCTGATGCTAAGGCAGCAGTTAAGTGTGTTAGCTTGAAGATAAGTCTGGATAGCCCATCATTTAGCATAATCCTCAAAAATAAGACTGAACACTCCAGTCTTCAAACAGAAATTCGTGCTTGCCAGTTTGGTTAAGACCAGCCCTTTTTTCTTTTTCTCAACAAAAATTAAATGTGAGGTTCAGTTATTTGATTTTATAATAATCTAAGTTATTTTTATGTATATTTAAACACTTATATCTTACATTAGGCCATATTTGCTTTGCATTATTTAGTTCTGAGAGAATGAAAAGAACAGAGAAAAACAAGTTGCCTCAGGCAAGATGTCCCAGAAGAAAGGGCATAACAGATGCAGTATTATTACTTTTCACCATGCAGAAACGTTTTTTTAAGTATAACAAGCAACTGGGTATCAGCAGGGACTGGAAAAAAAGGTGCTGAAAAGAGAAACACAACCTTCTGCCCCATGCATCTATGTCCTAGCCTTTATGGGACATTCAAACATCTGGGATTTTCCTTTGTATCCCAGGATACCCTGGCATTAGGAGACTTGGCAGTTTACCAAAAAGCATTGCATTGTGTAACTGTATGAGATCCAAAATGAGGGCAGTGATTCACTGCCATTCATTTTTCACCTAACACTGACTCTCCAAAGTGAATTTTGTCTTAGAAAGCATAGGTTTGACCAATCTTTTTCTCCTTATAGATGTAAAAGTGAAACTCAAGGTAAGTGCAGGTGTGAGGGAACAAGGTTTCCCCAGCTATGGAAAACATTTTTTGCCCTTTCCCTTACTGTGACACAACACTGTGATCTTCTGTACTGGTGACTAAATAAATCTAGGTTATATAGAAAATATTTCATCTTGCAGAGCAGATTTGCTCTGGGCTAATCTATCAGCTAAGTAATAACAGTGCCATCAAACTATTTTATGAGACAGTAGGGAAATTCCTATGAGGATAATCTGTAAGGCAGAAGGGTGAATAGCTTTTCTGTATGATACCATAACTGGACTGTACTGAACAACCTACAGCCACTTTCAGTACAGAAAAGAGCCGTTATTTTTTGTTTGGAACTTTGAAATGAGTTAAAGAATCTTAAAAAGAATTCCTGTAGCCTTAAATTTACTTTCATAATGAGCAACTGAAATAAATAGCTCCAAGATCCTCACCTTAGTCACTGAATAATCAGAATAGTTAGATATTTCTGCTTTAACACAACAGTCAAATTCTCAGCAATTGTAAAGAATACTTAGGGTTTCTGTTATGTAATTTTTGCTGTTGTTGAAGTTGTATCTCTTTATATCCTGGGAACTGAGAATTGTTTTAATCTTAAATCCTGTAACTTCCTGAATATGAGTATAATAATTACAGTTAGGGTTTTTGTTTTTGTTTTTTCTTTGAGTTAGTCTTCAGAGAAACACAAATTTCTGAGAACTCAATTATTTCTGAAGAAAAATCATTTTACTATTATTTCACAACTAATATAACTTTTCCTTTGACAGAAGCAACATCTTACAGAGGCATTTATTGAAAATCTGAAACAGTGGCTAACTTCTGCCCTCAAATCTGCAAACACAACTCCCATTGATTTTATGGGCTAAGTACTCAGACTATTTTACATAGCAGCTAAGCACCCTTAAGCCCTGACAGACCATGTCTATTGGCTGTGCACCAGCAGGATAATCCAGAGGATGCCTGGCTCAGTTCAGGAGGGAAAGGAGAGGGGGATCTACACCTGTTCTCTGGATACACTATGCAATGCTGCCCAGAGTGCTGGGTCAGTTTTTGTGCATCCTGAATTGCTTTTTCCTCCTACAGGCAGTGCCCTTTCAAAAGAAAGAGAGGAACTAAGGTTGTTTAGTCTGGTTAACAATATTTCTGAAGGCTAGTCTTTGGAAATTATGAGGTCAGGTAGCTAGAGACCTGCTTGTTGCTAAAGATCGGCCAGTGCTGAGGGAGGCTCCCAGCACTGCTGAAGCACACCCAGCTGTGACATGTCACATTCCTCTTTTGTTCCTCCTCAGCTGATTGCCATTACCCCAGGAAAAAGACCAGCACGCAGCCATGATATCCCGAATAGTGCCTGTGCTTTCTTGCCTCCATGGCAGTGTGTTTTACAGGCAGCTCATCTCTTGATGTGTCACTGATGTAGCTCACAGGATATTTGTTGCTGCCCACTTCCCTTACCACAGAGGCCAGCAGCCCCAGTCACTTGGGCTGGAAGAACTGGTGGAACTTTTTTAACTTCTACACCATCACTGTTTGTTAGACTAGCTGATAGAACACACAGAGAAGCTACTGCCGGGAACAACACCGTTACTGGCATGGAAAGGGCTTGTGCAGTCTAATGAGATTTTTATACTTTCAACTACCATCTCTTCAGTGGGACTGACAGAAAACTAGCTCTCTTAAATTAAATTATCACTGTGCAGAGAGGAAATCATAAAGAGGATCCAACCTTCATGTGATCATATCTTTTTTTGTTATCTGCCTACTTTCCTAAACTCAGCAACAATTTTTTGAAGACAAGTGTTTGCATACATCAGCAGCTGAGATCTATCCATCTAAACATAAGAAAACTCCCTAGAGCCATTGGCTCAAGAGTTGCACAAATTCTGTTAGCTGTTTTCTGCTCCATCTGGGGTTCTATGTTTTGGGTTTTTTTTTTTCACTTTCATTTGAAATATTGCATTAATTTACAGGCATAGCATCCCTGTGAGAAACGCTGGAAAAAGAAAGTAAGTGTACATCAGAATGACTCTGCAGCTGACTCCAGCATTTCTGAGTCCAAAGGACTGCTTCTGTGCTTTACATGAGAAATGGGCTGTTGTGATGTTCACTATCACGGTGTCCAAATATCTTTGCCCTTTGGGGCTTTGAATTTCTCTATTGCAATTTCTCATCAGCAAATGAAGATGGCAATATTTCCTTGCCTAATAGAAAAACTGAGTTATTTAAGGATAGACGGCTGTATTACTGTACAGAGAGTGCACAGATACTTATAAGGAGCATTATATAAAAGCCTCCTGGATTCACATCACATGACTGTAAAAACATGAATGGAATGAAGTAAGTATGTGGGTGTAAGGGTCCAGACAATATGTGGTTAAAAGTCTCAAATCTTGGTTGAACGTGTCAAACATTTTGTCTGATGAGTTACCATAGTGATAAAAAGAAGTGGAATAAGTTGTGGTCAGAGAAGAGGGTCTTGTGAAGGCAGGATAGCACTTTCTGAGCCAACTCCCTTATCTTTTGAAACCATGCAAGATTGGTAACCTGACCACATCTAATTAGCATGAGAAGAGAGAAAATCAACTAAGGGACTAGCTGCTTGTAAAACTGAACAGATTACTGTATAGGCAGGCACTTCTAAGGACTGGACACTCCCATTGGCTGGACCACCGTTAGAACCAGGACTGGTGATACCTATCTGTCTCTTTCTTCTCTCTTTCTCTCTCTCTCTCTCTCCCTCTCTCTTTGCCGTCTTTCTTGCTCATAACATAACCTAGGGACCCCATGCAAGTGGTGAATAATAACCAATTCTATACCTAACTGTACCCTCTTAAGCTGAGCCACTGTTACTGAATAATTTGTCTATTTACAGATGAGTGCTGTTGCACTTTTACTCCAACCAAGGAGATCGGCAAATGTGAATCACATTTCCCTTTCTCCTGTTACGGGAAAATGTTACGGGCAGGAATCTGGGATCTCCTTCTTTCCTGATATGATAAAACATTATGGGTGGGAATCAGGGATGTGACAGTCACATTTTCCTCTTTTCCCCTACAGGAAAACTTTATGGGCAGGAATCCAGGTCACTGAATAGTCCTTGGTACACAGCTTTCAAGTCCTTGGTATCTGTTATGATTACTTTGGAATGGGAAAGGAGTGAAAGAGCTGTGATTTAGTCAAGCCACTTGTGGTGGTTCTCAGTTGTTCTACATGGGCCAGAGGCCACGTCTCAGATGTGCTCTGACCTAGGCTGGCTGCAGACTGGGAGTTAAGGTCATATGTCAACATGACAACTTCCTAAATAATTTTTCACATCCCCTTCTCTCAAATACCTAGTGATGACTTATCCGTGACAACTAACTCTTCTCTTACTTGGAAACCAAAATCCTCAGCTGAGGCACGACAGACATGCCAGTTCTGTATGTGCCAAAATTCAGATTTAAAAATTCTAGATGTGATGTAAGGCTGAGGAATGAAATTGCTGTTGAGTAAGCAGTAAATATAATACACAATCCAAAAGGCATTAAAATCTGAAGCAGTGTCAAATATGCATACCTACCACAGATTTACATCATATTTTAAATGAGAAGAGTGAAAATCCTTATTAACTTCACTAATGTAGGTCTATGAAGAAATAAATTCTATCAAGTGTTCTTGCTTATTTAGGTGAACATCACAAAGTTATAGCATTTTAACACATGGCAAACATCCTTACTTACAGCCAGGAAGTGTTTGCGTAGAAATCCAAGGTGAAGAACTGCCATAACCAACATTTGTACTGGCAGCAACAGCAAATCTGTACCATCTGTATTTTTTCAGTCCATACACTGTCTCTTCTATCCAGCCATCCACCACATTTTCATATAAATATTGATGCATCTCATATTCAATACATTCCTTAGTTTCCCAGTCACTGCAGTAGACGGACTGTAGCTGTGTAGTAATCTTGTAGTTTTGAAAGCAGCCAAGGATAGATTTCGGTGATCTCCAGTTCAAGGTCACACTTGTTGATTGCACATTGGAAAAAACAATATCCCTGGGAGCACTAGGAACTACAAATTAAAACACTTGTAAGAAATCTTAATTTGAATGAAAAGTAATTGCAACTATAACCCCTTTATACAGTGTTGAAAAAATATTTTAATAAGCATGTCTAAAGACCAAGATTCAATTTCACATGGTTAATAAGGAGTAATTCTATTGGTGTAAATCACACCATATATGTGTGATTACATATATGGGTGGTGTACATTTACTATAACTTTTGAAATACAGAAAAATACCTATAGGTGTGGCATACAGGAGCAGCTTTGAGAGGTGTGACATTGCTGTTGCTACATTTGGGGCTATATCTCAACTGGAGGAGGGAATATCAAGCAAATTTCTTTTTGGCCTACCCATAGGTAGGATTCCTCACCTCTCACTTAGAAATACTCATTTGTCTTACTCTCCCTTGGTAACACATGAAATCCTCAAGCAACACCTCAAGATTTCGTGTCTTATTTCACCTTCTGAATGAAAAGTATCAATACATGCAGTATGTTTGTCTATCTTTATATAAGTGCTTTACAAGCTGTTCATTAGAAAACAAATTAAAAGAACACCAACAGGGAGGGCTAAATAATAGTGCAATACAAAGCAAAAAAGAAACTTCCCATGAACTTTGTTTCTATGTGTTTATATACATACATGTATGTGGGTATACACAGGTTATATTCATGTGCATGGAGTCAGTAGTGGTACATGGATGTACATAGTACGCATATACACATGCACACATTTATCCATATCTGTATTAAACCATCAGTATACTCCCAGCTCTCGCAGACTGTATGCAACATATGTTTTTGTGCTGTATCACATAGTCATACAGTAAGCTAATATTATCACTAAGACTCTGTAACAGAATACTAATACTCTCTGTGGCAAAAACTGTGCAGAGAAATCAACTCAGAAATCATTCTGTGCACTTAGCTTTAAAGAGTGCTTTAGAAACTTTGGGAGATGTCCTGGTTTTGCTAGGATAGAGTTAATTTTCTTCTTAGTAGTTAGAATAGCTGTGTTTTGGTTTCAGTATAAGACTTGTTATGAGAAGAATATTGATAAAAGAAGTATCTCTGGTAAAAGAAAAACACGTGATACATCCTCAAACTGAAACTGAAGAAGCCTCAAGGCTTACATAAAGAATAAAAGGATCCCAGACCAACGTTACTGAAGAAGAAAGAGAAAACCCTCCCTTTTTTTTTTTTCCAACCTTGTGGGAATATCTGGTCTCTGCTTATATCTGCAACAATTTGTTTATAAAAATCATCATAATATAATGAGCTGAAGCCTCTCCACTAAATACGAATTTTAACAAGAAATGTAAATTATGAGTCAAACTATGCGGTGGCAGTGAAAAGGTTGAGAAATTAAAATCCCTTCAAATGAGCCCAAAGAAGGTGGAGCCTACAGGAGGGGATCCAGGCACAGGAACCACGGGCGCTTCCCCTGTCCTTCCACTCAGCTCTCACACATGTGTACACAGCATTGCAGCATGCAATAGCCTCATATGCTCCCACCCTCCTACACCCTAAGCAGACGCAAAACAAAAACAAACTTCCTAAGAAAAAAATCTTTGCTAGAGACAACTTTCATCACCATACTCTATACTATCAAAATTAAAGTTCTTTTGCTCTGTTGTTCTTAGTATGAAGAGAAGTACCAGAAACAGTAAATAAAAACAAAGCAAGCAGTAACCTTCTTGCTTGATCAGTTTTGGAGATGTAATACTCTATCCACTTTAAAAAAAATAAGCACTACAATATTTTCATAATAGTTCTATAAACTGTATTTTCTAATTGTGTAAATTAAAAGGAAGGGCTTAGTTTGACCATTAGTTAATGAAAAAGAAAGGCAGAGAAATGTTCAATGCTTACTATTAAAAAATCTTTATTTTTCCTTTAAGAATCCCGTACTGTATTGTTGTGAAGTTATTAGTAGCTGTTAAGATACTGTAAAGAATATGAATCTTACACGCTCAGTTATGATAATGATAAAATGGCTAAAACTATTTGAGTGAAGTAAAAGTTACCACCCAGTCTCACTCTGAAAGTGAATTAAAGTACTTTTAAGACCCAATACAATACATTCCAGGAATTAAAAAATTAAGAGTCAGCAATTCCAAAGACATCAGAACAGATAAAAATTAAAAGAATTTAAGAAAATTCAATTCTCCTCCTTCTCATTCAGAGGGGATTATTGTTTTTAGGATAAGGAATGCGACCTCACCTTCCCAGGCACGACTCCAGGAACTCTTGCTGAAATAGGAAGAGCCAGCATTGGCAGATTTGGAATAAAAGTGTGCAACACGGAGATAGAAAAAACTGACTGTAATACCTCCTAATTAACTTCCATCTGCTGAAAACTGATTATTGGACTATAGAATCACAGAATGGGATAGGTTGGAAGGGACCTTAAAGATCATCTACCTTCCCAGGCACGACTCCAGGAACTCTTGCTGAAATAGGAAGAGCCAGCATTGGCAGATTTGGAATAAAAGTGTGCAACACGGAGATAGAAAAAACTGACTGTAATACCTCCTAATTAACTTCCATCTGCTGAAAACTGATTATTGGACTATAGAATCACAGAATGGGATAGGTTGGAAGGGACCTTAAAGATCATCTGGTTCCAACACCCCTGCCATCAGCAGGGTCACCTCCACCTAGGCCAGGTTGCCCAAAGCCTTCAGGAACTGGAAGGTCACTATAAGGTCTCCCCGGAGCCTTCTCTTCTCCAGGCTGAACAGCCCCAACTCTTTCAGCCTGTCCTTGTAGGAGAGGTGCTCCAGCCCTCTGATCATCTTGGTGGCCCTCCTCTGGATTCACTCCAGTAGATCCATGTTCTCCTCGTGTTGGGAGCCCCAGAACTGGACGCCACATGCCAGGTGGGGTCTCATGAGAGCACAGTAGATGGGGAGAATCACCTCCCTTCACCTGCTGGCCATGCTTCTCTTGATGCAGCCCAGGATACGGTTATTTGCCTTCTGGGCAGTGAGTGCGCATTGCTGGGTCACATTGAGCTTCTTGACCACCAGCACCCCCAAGTCCTTCTCCTCAGGTCTGCTCATGATCCATTCTCTGTCCAGCCTGTATTTGTGCTCGGGGTTTCCCCAACCCAGGTGCAGGACCTTGTATTTGGTCTTCTTAAACTTCATGAGGTTTGCATGGGCCCGTCTCAAGCCTATTGAGGTCCCTCTGGATGGCATCCCGTCCCTCCAGTACCACACCACTCAGCTAATTTGCGGAGGGTGCACGCAATCCCACTGTCCATATCACTGACAAAGATGGTAAACAGTGCTGGTCCTAGTACTGACCCCTGAGTGATGCCACTTGTCACCGGCCTCCACTTGGACATTGAACTGTTGACTGCACTCTGAGTGTGACCAGCTGGCCAATTCCTTATCCAGCCAGTGGTCCATCCATCTAGTCCAACTCTCTGAGAAGGAGGAGAATTGAATTTTCTTAAATTCTTTTAATTTTTATCTGTTCTGATGTCTTTGGAATTGCTGACTCTTTTCTGTCCAACTTAGAGACAAGGATGTTGTGTGGGACAGTGTCAAATGCCTTGCACAAATCCAGGTAGATGACATCAGTTGCTCTTCCGCTGTCCACCAATGCTGTAACTCCATCACAGAAGGCCACCAAATTGGTCAGGCATGATTTGCCCTTGGTGAAGCCATGCTGGTTGTCAACAATCACCTTCTCATTCTCCATGTGCCTTAGCATAGTTTCTAGGAGCATCTGCTCCATGATCTTGTCAGGCACAGAGGTGAGACTGACCAGCCTGTAGTTCCCTGGATCTTCCTTGTTCCCTTTTTTAAAAATGGGGGTTATGTTACCCCTTTTCCAGTCCATGGGAACTTCACCAGACTGCCAGGACTTCTCAAATATGATGGACAGTGGTTTTGCAACTTCATCAGCCAGTTCTCTCAGAACACACAGATGCATCCCATCAGGTCCCATGGACTTGAGCATGTTCGGGTTCCACAGATGGTCTTGAACCTGATCTTCTCCTACAGTGGGTGGCTCTTCATTCTCCCAGTCCCTACCTCTGTCTTCTGTGACTTGGGGGGTGTGACTTGAGTGCTTGCTAGTGAAGACTGAAGTAAAGAAGTCACTGAATACCTCAGCATTCTCCATATCCCGGGTTTCCAGGTCTCCTATTTCCTTCCAGAGGAGGCCTACATTTCCCTCACCTTCCTATACTTAAGTCCAGGTCTCCTATTTCCTTCCAGAGGGGGCCTACATTTCCCTCACCTTCCTATACTTAAAATTAAATGAAAGAATGGATCAAATACTGAAACAGGGGCTTGGAATAAAGCAGATAGATAGTAAGTGGTTGCTTTCTGGGTGCCAAGAGCAAGGTGGAAATATGTACCCTCATTTGCTCAAATGTGCAGCTGGTAGAGCCATGGCTGGCACAGCTGCAATCTCTGCACCTAAACCAAGGCAGGTTAAAGAGGCTGGTCACAGAGAGAAAGAGCAGCACCTGTGTTCTAGCCAGCAAGGTGAGATTTCCTTCCCAAATAGAGTACACTGTTCCCCCAGTTTCAATGTGGATGATGCAATCTAAAAGAACCGAGAGATAGCAGTGTTACAGTAAAGATGTAAGAGATGCTTGGCAGTTTCACAGAAGTAGAAATGATATCAGGAAAAATAACAGTGGGTCTGATTTGTGGGCTCTCACACAGAACAGAGAAAATTTAATAAAGCCAGCTTCCAACAGCTCTCCTTGTATTTGTTGGAAAGAGACAAACTTCCGGAGAGTGGGGGAAAGAATGGGGTGCAGCAAAACTATGTTTCTCTTTCCATCTGTCCCCTAGAGAAGCATCCTTTTTCCTGCAGATTACAGAGGGAACCCATGCAAATTACAAGGCTGAAGATTGTCTCTGTGGTCATCCTGGTGAGTAATGCTACATCAAAATCACCATTTCAAAAGATAAGTTTGCAGGTATCAAGATAACAGACAGATTAGACGAGTACTTCTTTCCTACAAAAGCTTTTATTTC